CCTTTTGATAGTTTCAAACAGCTTGTAATGGAAAAGGGGAGGCGTTTCTCATTTGCTCAGCAAAGGTGATAACTACCAAGGAAACTATAATAACAAACTCTGCGTAGGTGGCAGAAGTGAGAAGGAGGGAGAAAAAAGGTTAATCATTCTGGAACATGGCTCAGTATAGACAAGGCTACGTGCTTGCAGACAGTTCCTCCTCCTCCATCTGTAGCAAGTGAGTCTGGTGAAGAATAGATTGTTTAACTGTTTTCTGTATTAATTATTGCAATCTGAACAGAGGCTGTTCTCTGGTATTTTGTTCCAGAGGCTGTTAGCCTTTAAAGAAGGCATTGTACATAATCTCGCCATGTATTATCACCTCGCTGTGTGTTTGTTTCAAGGCTGCTACGCACTTTCCACCGCCTTGCCATCTACGTCATTCCCTCCCTGTTTACTTTTATTAGGCAGGATGGATACTCCCAGCGCTCCCACCCTGAATCCGACTGGCCTTTTTCATCTTTTGCTGTTTTAAAGCTGTTAGTTTGTATCTATCCAGAACATTTGTGTGTGAAAACAACAAATAATTCAAGAGTATTCTTTCTTTATCACTGTTATGGATTTTTACTCACATTGTACCATTTCAGGAATTATTTTTTACCCCTTAATTTTAGCTCTTAAGGTTTGTCTAAAAGTTGAAAGATTGTACATCTTGGATAACAGAAAATGACGCAATGCTGAGAAATCGGCATGTACAGTATATCGGCAAGTCACAATCAAGGAAACAAATAAAAAGGAACTATTTAACATTTATTTAAAACATAACATGATTTATTAATATATTGATTTATTAAAATAAATTATTTGTTGTTGTTTGTAAGTGTTTAGAAAGGAGCTGCGGTGGTGCAGCGGGTTAAACTGCTAAGATGCTGAACTTGCTGACTGGAAGGTCGGTGGTTTGAATCTATGGGATGGGGTGAGCTCCCGTTGTTAGCCCCAGCTTCTGCCAACCTAGCAGTTTGAAAACATGCAAATGGGTGTAGATCAATAGATACCACTTTGGTGGGAAGGTAATGGCACTCCATGCAGTCATGCCGGCCACATGGAGGCGTCTATGGACAATGCCGGCTCTTTGGCTTAGAAATGGAGATGAACACCACACCCCAAAGTTGGACTCGACTAGACTTAATGTCAAGGGGAAACCTTTACCTTTAAGTATATAGAAAAGATCCTCGATATCCACTGAAGTTTGGTTCCAGGACCCTCTGTGGATATCAACATCTGAGGATGAGCAAATCCTATTATATATAATGGCATAGTGAAATGTTGTGACTTATAAAATGGCAAAATAAAGATTTGATTTTTGGATTAGGATGGGGTGATATTTTGGTGCCATGGATAGTTGAATCCATGGAAGCATAATCCATGGATAAAGAGGGCCAACTGTATTTGGGGGGATTTATCTGGACCTTTTAAAACATTCATATGACTGATATTTCTAAATTTGCTCTCCATATGATATCAAACCAGTGAGTTGAACCTGTTTTGGACTTCTAGCTAAGGCCTTGTGCAGTCCACCTGATTTTTGAGCAGAGAGGTAATTCCCTTGCATTAGTATTCACATTTCTTGTGGCTGGCACCCAAAGTGATTACTGACGTTTTGTCATTTTAATTTCTTTCCTGCTGGACCGAATGTATTTGTTCTAATTAAATACTGGAAATCAGACTGTCTCTGCTTGACTGCTCAAACTAAATGCCTTCCTTCTGCCCATCCAGCCGTAAAAAGGGAGGCCTGACAAATTGAGCTGGGAGAAGTCAAAGGTAGTTGTAGTCGGTACTGACTGAAACAGAAACTACAGAAACAGGTGTGTCTTATCCAGATCTGTCCCAAGAGCAATGAACAGAGTTCTGCAAAGAAAGAAGATGTTGATTTAACAGATTTCCAGTGAAATGACGTTTGAAGTACCGAGAAAGACACCTGTGTTGATGCTTTGTAGCATGCAAATGCATTTAAATACAGCTCCTTAATCAGTCAAAAGAGGAATAATCAGTCAAAACTTTTCTAATTAGTTTAATTAGTTACTTAAAATGCATTCTCTCATTTGAGCACCATCCCCAAAGCTTATTTTTCTCTCTTGCTTTATCGGTGTAGTGTAATTTCCCCAACAATTTTCCCTGAATAATCTAATGGTTAGAATTATTCAGCATGGAGATACACAGATGAGGGACTTTCCTTACTGGAAGTCCCTAAAGAGACGTTGAATAGTCAGGTTCTTAGGGATATGTTAGCTGTGTATTCTTACAATGGCAAGTGGTTAGACTAGATACCCTTTGGAAATCCTTCCAATTCTTTGATACTATACATAACTTCAGAATATATATTATACATAATGTTTACTTTACAAATAAAGTCAATGGGATTTTTGGTGGGTTGTTGTGAGTTTTCCAAGCTATATGGCCATGTTCCAGAAGCATTCTCTCCTGACATTTCAGCCACATCTATGACAGCCATTTTTAGAGGTTGTGAGATCTGTTGGAAACTTGGCAAGCTGGGTTTATATATTTGTGGAATGTCCAGGGTGGAAGAAAGAGCTATTGGCTATTTGAGGCAAGTGTGAATGTTGCAATTGGCCACCTTGGTTAGCATTTAATGGCCTTGCAGCTTCGAATCCTGGCTGCTTCCTACCTGGGGGGATGCTTTCTTGGGAGGTGTTTGTCCTTTGTTAAGGTGCCATCACTCTTTGGCAGAGAAGACTAAACAACTCCCATGATTCCATAGCATTGAGCCATGATAGTTAAAAGTGGTATCAAACAACATTAATTCTACAGTGTAGATACACCCTTAGGGTCCTTCCAGACAGGCCCTATGTCCCAGGACCTGGTCCCAGGTTTTCTGCTTTGACCTGGATTATGTGGGTCCGCACTGCCAGCTAATCTGGGATAAACAGGAAACCTGAGATCAGATCCTGGAATATAGGGCCTGACTGGAAGGGCCCTTAGGTCCCTTCCACACAGCTGAATAAAATCCCACATTTTCTGATTTGAACTGGAATATATGGCAGTGTGGACTTAGATAACCCAGTTCAAAGCAGATATTGTGGGATTTTCTGCCTTGATATTCTGGTATATAGGGCATGTCTGGAAGGGCCCTTAGTTTAATGGGGCTTATACCTAAATAAATGATTACAGGATGTCAGGCTATTGTAATAACAATTTGAGATAACCTGTGTCTTGTTGAAAGTGTTCCCAGAAGTTGCTAGTCTTTGACTTGGTTAGCATGAGATCTTTTGTATCTGCCATGTTGGTGCAGTTTTTAGTGCTTCTGATACATTCAGTTTTGTAGCTTGCCATTCAACTCCAGTCTGCTTTTTTCTGGAGTGCAGGAGTAGATAGGCTAAAATCTGCCAGTGTGCTTTGATATAACTCATCCAGCCAAGAAAATGAAGTGTTCCCGGCCTTTGTGAAGGTTTCCAAGAATGACAGCCTATGCAGTTTGTGTCTGCTTTCCTCTGAATGTCTAGCTGGCAGACTGTTCCTGCCAGACAGACTTGTGTGCAGAAAAGAAAAGTGAGAGTGAATGTGAGAGAGACAGGGAAAACATGTTTTGTCTGTAAACAGAGAAAGCATATTTTTAGATAGGTGTGAGTTAGGTTTATGTTATATAACAAGGTGGAGGACCAGGGTGCTATATAAAGCAAGGGAGGGGAATCTTTGGCCTGCCATATGGCTCGGCCTGCAATTCCCATCAGCCCTACCAGCATGACTAATGGCAAAGGATGTGAGAGGTGTAGGTCTGGTCCAAAACATCTGGAAACTCAAACATTCCCCACCCTTCTATGATGGACTTAGAGCCTGATGTGTATATGACTCTGGTCATATGGGACAGGGCATTTTTACTGGGTGGCAATTCTCCCACTCAAAGAGTTTATGAGTGGAATCTTCTCCACTACGTACAATCTGACATTTGCATGGGTTTGAATGTACAGAATTGGGATTTTTTAGAAAAAGGAGAAATACAACACAAAGTTGCAAATGTATTTGCATCACTCAGTATCCTAGCACTGGAAAATACCTTAATTAAGGAGATGAAAATTCCTTATAAAGACATATCAATGCTGGAAAAAATGTTTAAAAATGCAACTAAAATGCAACAGGTTGCTCTCTCTCTCTCTCTCTCTATATATATATATATATATACTAGCTGTCCCCTGCCACACGTTGCTGTGGCCCAGTATGTTTATATGTGTGTATATATATATTTGTGTATATATGTAGTTTTGAGCATGTGTTGTATTTTTATTTTTAATTTTAATTTTTAATGTCTTTTCTGCTGTGTTTTTCAGTGTTTTTATGAGTGATGGTCACTCGTTGGCCTGATAGATGTATTGTGTCCAAATTTGATGTCAATTCATCCAATGGTTTTTGAGTTGAGTGGAGGTAGGGGTTGGCGATGATATGCAATATAAAGGATTGAGGTTGTGGATAGGGTACAATTTTAAAAACTATTACACACACACATACACATATGAATCAATCATTTCTATTTTTATTTTGCAATATTTTGCAATCATGCAGTTCACTGATTCGATTGTATGTCGCCTTTTGTCTCCACAAGGTTTATCCATTTGAATACACCATTATTATATGCTTAAAATGAGAATATAGTAATGTTCTTCTCTCACATAGCCAAATACAGTAGACATGCTTTGGTTTGAATAGGGCAGTCATCATAACCAAACAGCAAACCATAGGTTCATGTTCTGGTTGGTTAATGGATAATGGTTGTCAGCAGAGGCAGCTTTGAATATGAATCCAGAAGGCACTTCATGGTTTGTGATGTGAAAACGATCACTTTTTAGGAAGCAGTCTGAATAGTACATTTGAATTAAATGATGCATTTTCTTTTGTTGTTGGCTTGAAACATACGGCAGTTGACTTCTCCTGCTATATTTGATTCTAGATGTAGACATAACCCATCATATTCTGATTCTGATAGCAGTATTTGAATTGTGTCTTTGCAGTTATTTGGATGGATGCTTTTCAAAAGTGGGGGCCAAGATGTGTGGTGGAGGACATTGGCAAGTGGACAGCAACTGGGGGAGAAAGCGCATGCGAATGAGAGCGATGAAAAACCAACTGTGTGATCATTGAAAATTCCACTAAGATCCTTAACAGACGACTGCTCACATATTTAAAACATGTTTTCTACATCCAGAAGGGTTAGACACTTTCTTTTTTATATGTCAATGAACAATGAATTGCAAAAGAAACTATTTGTTCTTGCGCCTGAAAGTAGAAGTGATAAAAACTATTACTGCATATCAGCAAACCTTTTCATCTGCATTCCCATCCTTTGTTTGTGTCATGTTTCAAACTATTGTGTCCTCTTTACTTGAAAATTCATAACTTTTTCCATACTGTATTCATTCTTTCACAATTTCCCTCCACCCAGCACTTACATTTTTGCATTGGTTAAGCCAGGGCAGAAGTCATGTGATTCTCTGAATGTTATAGGACTGCAACTCCCAATATTCCTCAGCATTGGCAATGCTGGCTACAGCTACTGGGATTTGTAGGGCAGCTCCATCTCACAGTATTACACAAATATTTACAGTATTTATATAACTTTGCCATATGAGAAACAGGACATTTTCAATCCATTATCCTTTTCAAATGTTAATTAGAAGTACTATTGCTTTCTAGAAAACAGTGTGTTGAAGTCTCTTTCTGAAAAGATTTTTAAACTATGGGTCAAACTGAGATAATAACTTATTGAGTTCAGATTTTGAGCATTTAACGCATGCAGTGAAATGCAAACTGTGGTTTCTTCTGTCTTATTGTGTTGACTAGAAATATTTGTACTGTGTTTCATGATGATAATCCTTGAATCTTGACTCCTGGGCTTCTTCCCCTGGATACAACAAAATTGATTATGTTTCTGACTTTATAAATTATTCCTATTCAGCAACATGAAGGAATTGCTTTAGGTACCAGTTTCAGAGAATTTGTATGGTTTTTGCTATATTCTACCGCTATCTTTAGCTTTGTAGATGATAACAGTAATAGTAGTGCAGGTGGAGGTGGGGGATGGCGATGATATGCAATATAAAAGATTGAGGTTATGGAGAGGGTACAATTTTAAAAACTGTTTTCTTCAGACAGATGGATATGAATAAGACTACTGCTGTTAGACTGATGCTTCATCTCTGTAGTAACTTCCCCATTCACACATATTGTTCTTCTTTAAAGAATTCAGATGCTTCCAAGATTGAAGTTTTTATGTCTAGGTTCCAGGATATATAAAAGGAATGATTACTTGAAAGTTTCATGAGTAGAAGCTTCTCCACTACAGGATACAATCCTAATATTCAAATTGTTTAGAGATTTTTGAAAAAGTAGGAAGTCGGTACAGAGCCGCAAATGTGTTTACCTCCCTCAATATCCTAGCAATATTTATTATATTGCTTAAAACCAAAATATATGTGAACTAAAAAGAAAAAAATCCTAGAACTATAATAAAAATGGGTTTGAAACCACAAATGATCTGGGATTGCAGAAAATATATATCGGGCACTATTTTTATCCTTGGTTTGCAGTAATTGGCAAAAAGGCATTGAAATAGGATGGGACACATGGGGTTCGCTAGTTAAATTGCATGTTTCCGTTGGGTATGCAAAAACCAGGGGTCATAGTCCATTTGGATGCATAGCTCTTTCTTGAAAATGCTTTTCTAAGTTCTTCTGTATCTTTGTTTTTCCTACAGAATCTTATGGCAAGAGCCCTATATGATAATGTCCCAGAATGTGCAGAAGAGCTTGCCTTCCGCAAAGGTGACATTTTGACAGTGATTGAACAGAACACTGAAGGACTGGAAGGATGGTGGCTATGTTCTTTACATGGACGGCAAGGTATTGTTCCGGGAAACCGTGTCAAGCTTCTGATAGGCCCTGTGCCAGAGAGCCCACCCAGCCAAGACTTGTCAAATTCAGGATCCGTTCACCAGCCCTTTAACCAGCAAAAGGTTTACCAAGTGCCAAGTGCGCATTCTTCACCTCGGGATCCCGTCTATCAAGTGCCTCCTTCCTGCACGAATCAGGGAATCTACCAGGTCCCCACGGGCCATGGTCTTCAGGGGCATGACGTTTACCAAGTGCCTCCATCTGGGCAGAGGGGTTTTGGTGCAGTAGAAGGCTCTCCAACAAGCAACAAGGTGTGTACAAATTGTCTTGAGGGTTTAGTTTCCAAATTTAGCTATCTATAAGAATGTTAAAGTCTCAGATCACCCATTTCTTTCCTACTACCAATGGGATAGATGTGTCTGTGTAATATTTGTCCTTCCAAGCACTATTAGCTGATCATTAGTATTTTCTGAACATCCTACTCAGAATCTTAGTAACCTAGTAGCATGTCTGACTCCAGAAAAGGCTGAAATTTGAGTCATGTCAGAGTCAACTGGATTTGAGGATCCAATGTAGAGAAGAGGTCTGACGGTTAAACTACGACACTGGTAGCCCAGGGTTTGAACCCCACCCCCTCCCCAGGCCATGGAAACCTACTGGGTGAGCTTGGGAAACTCACATTCTCTCAGCCTCAGAAGGAAGCAAGAAGGACTCCACTCTGAACTGTGATAAGTTCACCTTAGTTTTATCAGAAATGTTGGAGACACACAACAACAGCAATCCCAGAGAGGTGATCAGGTATTGCATGATCAGGTATTGCATCTTCTACTTCCTGTTTATTCAGGCAGTAGGTGGGCTAGCATCTCATTAACTGGAGCTCTTCACGTGGTCTTAAATAATCTCAGGCATGCCACAGGAAGGAATACATATACTGTTATGTGAATAAAGAATCCAGTGAGAATCCAAAAAAGTACTGTGTTTTTGGTGCTGAAATCTTTAAATCGTCAAATGTGTTGATTGAATTTTTAGATGATTAATCAGAAGAGGAAGAAATATGTAAAGCTTTGTGTTCCCATCTGTGGTAGCTAGCAATTAGTCCATTATGGGTTTTATTTTGAACTTTAAAGTTGCTATCTGGAGTGCTGATTCTAGTTTGAAGATAGGATTCAACAGCTAAGATGGATTCCTTAAAGTTCAGACTAAAACTCAGAATGGATTCATGACCTCACTGATATGTAACCATGTGAATTTTCCATATAGCATCAACATCCTAAGTCAGAATGTATAGTCTTGCCAGTTCTTATAACTAGATCTTGGGGTATTTCTTCACAAAAATCCCCTCCTGATTATCCTAAAAGTTCTTCATTTGTTCTTGTGTGCCTTCAAGTCATTTTTGACTTATGGCAACCCTAAGGAAACCTGCCATGGGATTTCCCGGGCTTTTTTTCCTCATCAGGAGCGACTTGAGAAACTGCACGTTATTTCTGGTGTGAGAGAATTGCCATGGGGACAACCAGAGGTTTGATGTTTTACCACCCTTGTGGTAGGCTTCTCTCATGTCTGTGCATGGGGATCTGGGGTTAAGAGTGTGTGACTCACCCAAGATCACTCAGCGGGGTTTCATGACCCAACAGAGAATCGAGCCCTGGTCTCCAGAGTTGTAATCCAATGCTGAAACCACAACGCCACATTGGCTGTCAATGCAATACATAATTTAGGGCCATTTGGGGAAGTTGATGAGGATTATTTTTAAGATGACATCAGTAAATAACTGGGACTCAGAAATTCTTGCTGTTCTATAGCAAATTAGTAGATTTTAAGCTGCCATCTGTCCATCACTGGCTTAGATTCTTGAGAACAGAAAATCTGATACTGAGGTTTCGGTAGATGCCTGAGAGGTCTGTAACACTATTTGTTTATTTATTATTCTTAAAAAACAAATAAACTGCCAATCAAACCAGCAGTAAAGGCACATTTGTTTTGAAGATTTGCATATATTACACACACACACACATATTTTAAAAAAAAACAAGATCTGCCAGTAGTGACCTATTGGGAAGGACAGGAAGTCTTAGATAAACTTGATTTAAAAGGCTGAGTGAAATATAAAACCTAAAGTAAATAGAGCGATACTTTTGCCATTCACCTCCACTAATATGTGCCCATCGCTTGAGCCAAGGCCTCTTGAATGTCAGTGGAAGTACCCTGCTGTTGTTGTGTTTTAAAATCCTTTGCAGTTTCATCAGATATGGAGCAGCTGGAAGGCAGGGCTATCAATAAATCCTCTGGAATATTTAGGGCTGGTTACTTAGCCCTTATAAATGTGTCTCAGTGACGTATTGCAGACAGGGATACTCCACCAGGAAGTGCATGTCTGGAAGGTGCCATGGTCTAATCTTTCATTGCCGTTGATGTTGGCAGGAATTCATTCTGACTCTTTCCTTTTTAAACCACAACTGCAAATCCTTCCAACTTGTCCTTGATTCATGGCATTTGCTTCAAGGTATCTCAGACTAGACACTCCAGTTTTCTGAGAACCATTATTTTCCATTCAAGATCTTTTAAGAATTATTTCCTGGTATCCTGACTGTTCGTTTTGTTTTTCTTATTTCCGGTGCTAATGAGCAGATTTTCTAAAGGCAGAGAAGGGATAATAAATCCATTAGCTCACATTCCACCTTGAAAAATTATTGTTGGTGCCCCTGCCCATAGTTATGTGCGATAGTCCACATGCTTATATAGTTTCTGTAGTCAATTGTTAGGAAGCAACTTCTTATATGCCACAGGAGGCAGATTAGTGATACTTTACAGGCTTGCTCTGGAAAATTCTGTTTCTTACATTTTGGAATCTTTCACTGTGGAAGAAAGGTCACATTGGTAAGATCACACAAGCGAGTGAAACACTGCCTACAATTTTTTTAGAAACTTGGGAATTCAGACCTGCATAGTCTGTAATACTCCATACCAAATATTGTGCACTAGCCTGGTGGATTGTCTTGCTGCTTTATAGGCCCCTGAAATGCTGGCCCTGTTGACCCACTAGTAGCCTTGGGTTAATATTCACCATTCAGTTGGGGGCTGATGAAAGGGGTGTTATATGACAAATTGCATAGGAGGAGTGGAGGATGGTCGAGTGGCAGAAGCTGCCTGGACAATGAAAGAGGTGCTGAAATAATAATAATAATAATAATAATAATAATAATAATAATAATAATAATCTTTATTTATACCCTGTCACCATCTCCCCCAACGGGGACTCAGTGCGGCTAACATGGGGCCAAGCTCAAACAACAAATTGCAATACAAAGAAAAAAAATACAAAATTACAATAAAATAAACAACATAACATTAAAGTATAAAAACATCAAAGCATATAAACAATATACACAGAACATAGATACCAAACATAATGACGGAGAGCAGGCCGCATGTACATAAAATGATTTAAAAATGAAGACTGTTCCCCTGTCTGGGTTAAAGTGGAGATGTTGGAACAATTGAAAACACCTTTATGGAGGTAAGCAGGTAACACTACTGGGTTGACCACTTTCTGTACCCACAGACCAGTTGGTTGTGCCAAGGTATACTCTTGCTCAGTTTAGGTCCAGACCTTTTCAGGCCGAAGAGAGGTAGGCGGCCTCTGGTCATGTGCCCGTTTCTCTGTTTCCCAGCTATCAGCAAGAATGTAATTCTTCAATAATTTTCTCCTCAAAGGGATCAATGAGTAATTTTAGTGATTTTCTTCCTGTTACAAGCAAGTCTTTGAAAACAGCATAGTAGGACTTATTCTGTACAAAAAATATTGTGTGGTTGTTTTGCACAAATGTTGCTTTCTATGCTAATCAACAACAGCCCATTTTAGTGCAGAGTAAATCCCCAACATTTTCTGCAAAGAAAATAAAATTTCTGCATAAAAGTATATTCTGCAAAGAAAAAATTGCTTCGGTACAAATTAACCACATGCAAATATGGCCCAGAAGAACTCCCAGTCTCCAAAGATACTCATCAGTCCAAGATTCTTCTCACTAGTTTCCCAAAACTTGAAAAACATATTATTAATAATAAACTTTATATGTAACCCACCCTATCTTCCCAGGGGGACTCAGGGCAGTTATTCCATTTGGGGAAAATATTTTCCAATATTTTTCCATCTTTAGCTGGGTGGACCGAGGCTATAATCCTAGAGACAGTTAAGTCAGTCCAGCACTAATTGAATTTACTAAATTCAAGAGTAAATGCTAAATAACTCCTAGACTGTGGAGAATGTGCGATAAGCCATCCACATCTCTTTGTCAGGAGCATTTTCTCTCATGGTGTTATCGCTGTACAAGAAGTATGTATGTGGGTGTGTCTCAGAAACAGGCACCTAAAGTGACTGTCTTTCCATTATCAAGTAAAAGCTTGGCTATATTTTTGCTATCAAATGGAGACCTTTTATTCCAGGAGGCATTTGGAAATCTATTGTTTTATATGTTGGGTTTTCTAATTTAGTGTCGTACTGTTTTTTCGTCTACATCTTTAACTTACTGATCTATATGGTTTTAATTCTATATAGATCATTTAATCTTAAATTTCTGTTTTTAGCTCTAGTGGGGCCTTGGTATCTGCTGAGTTTGTATTCTAGGATCTTCCATTGATATCAAAATCCGTGGCTGTTTAAATCCCATTATGTCCAATGGTGTAGCAAAATTGTACCCCATATATAGATTTGATTTTAGAATTGTATGTGTGTTTGTATCTCTGTATCTATCTATTTATCTATCTATCATCTATCTATTCAAGCCATGAATGGTTGAATCCTTAGAATCATAGAGTTGGAAGAGATCTCATGGGCTATCCAGTCCAACCCCCTGCCAAGAAGCAGGAATATTGCATTCAAAGCACCCCTGACAGATGGCCATCCAGCCTGTTTAAAAGCCTCCAAAGAAGGAGCCTCCACCACATTCCGGGGTAGAGAGTTCCACTGCTGAACACCTCTCACAGTCAGGAAGTTCTTCTTCATGTTCAGATGGAATCTCCTTTCTTGTAGTTTGAAACCATTGTTCCGTGTCCCTAGTCTCCAGGGAAGCAGAAAACAAACTTGCTCCCTCATCCCTGTGAATCAGTGGACATGGAGGGCTGACTGTGTTTAAATTTGAGTTTCATTTTATTCTGTAATCTACCTTGAGTTCCACTTTGGGGAGAACATGGATATAAATAAAGTGATTTATAGATGAATTGGAGTATTTCCTCCAGCTCTACCTTTGATAATCTTGTCATGTTGCTCAAATCAGGGTAGGAGCAGCAAATGGACTGCAGTACCGAGAGGAAG